ACTTGAAAAAAATACTAAAGATTTTAAAATATCTATTTTATGGGAAATATGTTATTTAAACAGTATTAGTAGACGTTTATTTAAATAAAATTAGTAGACATATGACAAACTTGCCAAAGGTATTTGTAATGGCTAAAAAATGCACAAAATGGAAATATCTTGAGTAACAGAAGAAATTAATTTAATCCACAAGAAAATAATAGTAGTAATGAATATTATTGTTGATGTTATGTGATATCGAGTTGCCTGTGTCTCATGATGAACCTATGTTCCTTAGCTTTGAACTCTTCTGTATCCTGAGCCAATCTTATCATCTCAGACAGACCTAATCACATTTCTCCAGTCACTGAGTCAATTCATCTCTTCCTGGGTCTTTCTCTTCTACACTGTCCCTCCACCCTTCCAAGCATGATGCCTTTCTCCAAGGACTGGTCCCTCCTATCCCTATGCCCAAAATATATGAGACATGCTTTTAAATCCTTACTTTCAGGGAGCAGCATGATTTTACCCTCTCTAGGACAGACATGTTTGTTCTCCTGGCAGCCTACAGTATGTTCAACACTCTTCTCAAGTACCACAACCCAAAGGCATTGATCCTTCTTTTATCATCCTTACTATCCAGATCTCAGAAGCCTAGCAAGTTATTGCAAAGACCATGTTCCGGAACAAGTGCACCTTAGTCTCCAGACTGACATCATTGCTCTTCAGTACGCAAGAGAGGTCCCTGACAGCAGATTTCCCCAAGCAATTAATTTTTTTATTTCCTGACTGCTGGTGATAATAAACATAACATTTGTTAAGTGTTTATTATTTTCTAGGTCTTCTAAGTTTTAAAAAATATTTATTAATTTCATACTCATGGTTCAATGGGATAGTTGCTACATTTTCTATAGGCGATAAAGCTCAAGCACAATGATACAAGGTCACAAAATCAGTAAATGATAATGCCAGGCTAGGCAAACTAATTATGAAATTCTATGACCTAGGCCACCAACTCAACAGCACCTAAAAACAACAAGGCCATGTGATTATAAAATTCGCTTTTTATTGTATGTATGATGTACCAAATGTGATAATGGCTACCTATGGTGAATAGTGTTTGCTGGAGCTTCCCAATTAAGACAAGTCTGGAAGCAGGAGTAGCATACCCTTCTGAAATGGCTAGCCTCCGGAAACTCTATGAACAGCACTCAGGCCTTTCGTTCATAGGGTCACTATGAGTTGTCAATAACTCAATGGCACCTAACAACAACAACAACAACAACAACGTGTATGTGTGCGTGTGTGTGTACGAGATATTCACTATCGCAAGAACATGGAAACAGCTCAAATGTCCAACCACAAACAAATGGATTGAGAAATGATGGTGCATTCACACAATGGAATACTATGCAGCACGCAGGAGCAACGATTTTGGGAATTATTACCTTACTTGGGAGGGACTGGAGAGCATTATGCTGAGGGCACTAACTGAATCCCACAAGGATAAATATAAATATTTTATAAAGCCATTATTGTAGAATGAGTATAAGGATCCAAGAAGGATGGGAGAGGTTGGAAGCAGAGGGATGAAGATGTGCAGGGGGAGGGGGAAATTAATCATGGGGTTGTATGAAGGAAATGGAAAGAATTTGTTCTTGGAAACAATGTATTAAAATTTTGTAAATAAACTAGTAGAAAAAAATGGCCTTTATTCATTTACCTGCAGTTTGGTAATTTAAATCAATCAGAATTTCTCATGAAACTTACAGCCCGTCAAAACCAGTTGAAATGTCAAATATGAGCTGTCTCCAACTCAACAGCATGTAACAATAACAAAGAAAACAGAATTAAATTCCATTGAGTCAATACAGACCCTATATATAACACAAGGTAGACTGTCTCAAAGAGGTTCTAAGGCTGTAATCTTCATAGGGGCAGAATGCCACATCCTTCTTCTACAGAGCAGCTGGTTAATTCAAACTTCCAACCTTCCCAATAGCACCTTCTTCTTGTTGTTAGACATCATCATCATTGAGTCATCTACAACTCATAGAGACTCTATGAACAATAGATCTGAGCCTTGCTCTATACTGTGACATCTTCACGGTCTCTAATACACCCGACCCCTTTGCTACAGCCAATGTGTCCAATCTATCCTGGTGAGGGTCATCTGTTTAGCAGCAGAACACTTTAACCTCTGAGACATTAGGGGTCCTTTTAGAAACAACTATCAATTGCCAATCTCAGACTGGTTTCAATCAAAGCAGAACTAGTTCATTTTCCTCAGTGACCTGTGGAGGAAAACCAGTGTCATTTAGCTGATATCTGACATCTAGTCAATATGACTACTGAGTATTGATCTGGCAATGGGGCATCGCCTCAAGTAACATTTTGTCTCTAACATTAGAAAAACAAAACAAGAGTGAAGATGCAATTGCATTTAGGAACACTGGATTCAGGCATCACTAGAAAAATTCAAGTTGCTCAAGTGACACAAGAAAAGTGGAAGATATAAGAATTTGCAATTTAGACCAAAAACATTTTCCAAGTGACAAGTAGTTGCCATGTCCCTCAGAGATCAGCACCCCCTACTTATGCCATGGATGATTGCTGTGATTTTTAATGAGCCCAGGAGACAAAACCAATTTATATGTTAAATAGCTAAACTTAAGCATAGTGAGATGATACCAACAGATGGATGGTACATTCTAAAAATCCTCAGGAAAGAGTTTCAGGTTGTATGTTACTGTTGTTGTTATGTGCCATTGAGTCTCCTGCTATTCATAGCTACCTTATGCACAATAGCTCTGAACTCTTTTCTATTCTGTTCCAATTTCACCATCTCTGACACATCTGCTCATATTACCCCAGTCACTGTGTCAATCCATCTCATCAGAGCCTTCCTCTCCTGTATTGTCCCTCTACCCTTCCTAGTATGATGTTTTTCTGCCAGGATTTAGCTCTCCTGGCAACCCCCACCCCCCAAAGTATGTGAGACAGATCTTCAAAATCCTTGCCTTGAGAGAGCAAATTGGTTTCACCCTCTCCAGAATCGGCTTGTCTGTTCTTTTGGCAGTCCACGGCATGTTCAATATTCTTCTCCTGCACCACAACTCAAAGGCATCAATTCTTCTCCAGTCATTGTCCAGGGCTCTGATGCATAACAAGTAATTGCAAAGATCATAACCTGAATAAGGCACACCTTAGTCTCTCGACTGATATCTTCGCACTTCGACACTTTGGAGAGGTCTCTGACAGCAGACTTTCCTAAGGAAAACTGTCTTTTGATTTCGTGCTGCTCTTTTCAGCAGTGTTGATTGTGGAAACAAGCAAGCTGAAATTTCTGGCAATCTCAATCTCTTCCCCATCTATCATGGGGCTTCCAATAGGCCCAGTGGTGAGAATTTTAATTTTCTTAATGTTGAGCTTCAATCCATATTGAAGACTCCAGTTCTTGAATTTCTACCTTTCTGCAGAAAGATGCTTCAGATCCTCCTCAGTATGCAATATTTACATTTACTTCTATACTTTTTGCCAGGGACAGAACCTCTAAGTCCAAACCTAAGTCAGCCTATTGTTATATAGCAAAGTCACGTACAAGGCCTGCTTATGCATGTATATGGCTATCTATATGGAGGTGTGTGTCTGTGTCTCTCTGTGCTTCTATATCGTTATGCGTGTGTGTCTTTGTGTATGTGTTTGAATATTGTTTTTCTGTGTGTTGTGTGTGTCTATTTACTACTGAAAATCTCAACTTTCTTATCTGTGAGCACTGCCTTTACAGATATAAAATAAATTTACTGTACTCTTGGATTCCACGTCCTGGTCAGGCAGAGCTGCAACATCATTGGCTACCATTCACTCAGAGGACACTTAGAAGACCATATGTTGTCACCAAGGAACCTGCTCAGAATAAGAAATTTTCATTTCCTTATTTGTTATTTCAATCTAGAGTATAGATTTTATTCAGAATCACAACTTGTTAAAAAAAGAAAAGACAAAAAATAAAAAAGATCCACTCCTTTCATTTGAAGATGAAGACATCGCTCCTAAAAGGTTTCTCTTGCCTAAAATGGTAATGAGTATGACATAATATCAAAAGCCAGGAGGAGGTGCTAGGCGTTAGGCAATCTGATCAAAGTGCTGTCTTTTCAAAGTAGTACAGACAACGCAGCAGGACTGTCACAAAGGAGGACACTCTGAGGTGCACAGATTAAAAACAACAAAAGTAAATATTATGAGACGCTCAATCCTGCAACATTCCTAACAACAAATAATTAGCAATTGATACATAAGTAGACCTGCATCTGAACAGATATGAAAAGATGAATGTGAATATTGCCACAACTGTATGGACATTTGGCAGAGGACGTTCTTCCTATGGATTGGTGGGTAGCGAGCTCTAGTGGTCTATGATGTATCACTGACAGTTTGCCAACAAACAGAGGCCATGCAGAAGAAAGATGGGCAACCTCCACAATGCTGTTTACAACCTCTGCAGTGTCATTGGAGAGTTAGCTATGAGTCAGTTATCACACAATGCCAAAGGCTTGGTGTTTGGGTTTTTGTTGGGTTCCCCCCCCCCAATCTGTAAGTATTTGTAGGTGATACAAATGTATTCATACTTTCAGGACATATCTAGGTTAATTAGTTGCCATTAAGTCAGACATGATTCATAGCTGGCTTGCCAGGGGTTTTTCAGAGGCTGTAAATTGCACGAAAGGAGATTGCCCATTTTTCTCCCAAGTGAGTACCTGGTGGATTCAAGCCACCTGCCTTTAGGTTGTCACACAGCTTCTGTACCACTAGGCCATCAGACCTCTCCTAAGGTCAATTAGCATAATCCAAAGAGATGGCACTCTACTTCTTCAAATGTTAATTGAGGTCTTGGCAGTCTCTCCACTAGGATGCAACTATTGATTCAGAGCAAAGAAGAATTGAAGATGTCAAAGACTCAAGGAAATAGTTTAAAGACTCCAAGACCTTGCTATCAGATGAACTACTATCAGATAAACTAGACATGGGCGGCTACCTCTACAGTCTGCTTTGATCAAGATGATACTAGAAGGTCCTGGAGAGAGTGGGAGAGAAACCAAAGTGGAACAAAGTTGTAAATCATAGAAAAGATTAGACTGGTTGGCCTAATGGAAAGTGTAGGCCTTAGACAAGTATCAAACCTGGAACTGAATTCGCCCTGAGTGGGAGGAGGCACTTTCAAACAGTTGTTGTTGCTGATGATTGCCTTCGAGTCAAGCACGATTCACAGTGGCCCTATGGACAAAAGGCCTGAAGCCCCTCTACAACTATCAACATATTTCAAAGTTCATCGAGTTTCTGGAGGCATGTTGTTTAGGAAATGGATGCCATTCCTGCTTCCAATACTGCTTTTCAAACAGTAGACAGGCTTAAAGTGATTAATAAATCCAGAGAGGAATGTACTGTTTTGTACGATTCAACAAAACTCATTGCTACTGGGTTGGAGCTGACTCAGCAATAGTGCACCTTTGAATTTCTGAGGCTACAAGTCCCACGGGAGGGCACCGCTCATCCTTCTCCCACCGAGTGGCTGGGAGACTTGAACTGCTGGAGACGCTCATTCTTTGGGGTTGACAGCACAACTCCCTAAAGACTCTGCCACCAGAGCTCTTTCTATTTGAAAATAAGACATTTTATTACTTTCCCCCCACTTCTCAGCCCTGAGTGAAGAAGTTAGAGTGTCAGGAAGTGCTGTGTAGAGAGAGTACACTGAAGTCCCACCTTCCTAACCAAAGCATGAAATGATGCGGAGCTTTGTGAATTGAAAAATTATAGAAGTATTGAAGAGAAGAGAGCACTCCCACACAATGTGTACCATTTTTAGAGAAATCATTTTAGGGAGGCTACTGGTGAGCACGTGATAAATTAATGAGGTGAATCTGAGAGACCTGGGCTTCTTCTCCCCAGTTCTGCTCCCATCAGCTCACTTCCACCACCCTACTGCATTTGTGTAGACAGACTTATAGCCTTAGCAGATCTGTCTTAGCAGATCTTTGGTTACTTCTAATCTGTGACAATGTTAAGAAAACCAGTCTAACTCATTGCCTTCACCTCTCAGAATTTGGCTTGAGTTTTCCAAGGATATTATTTTCAATTTATCACCTGGTTTTCATTTCTTCTAAGGTGTAAGAGAAGAAGTCATGCTGTGGTTTCTAGCCATGTTCCTCGCTTTGTTGGCTCCTGGTAAGTGCATTTCACAGATGCTGTGGGGATTTTTGTTTGTTTGTTTCAATGGGAGTCCATATTAAGTAGTTATTTCTCATTATACTTTGCTGTTGTTGTTCCCAATGCAGCACATCTGAAAGACTCCAAATTGAAAATGAGAATGATGTCAGTCACGAAGCAGATTGGGACATCTGTTGTAATCAGTTGTGAAGTTCTTGATCAGAGCATAAACTACATCCACTGGTACCAACACCAAGAGGAAGAAAACCCAAAACGCCTACTCTACTATGAGTTTTCCACCTTCAAAGTAGAGTTGGACCCAGGAATCAGTCCAGCGAAATACCATGCTTATGAAGGTTCAAAGAGGAGCTGCAAATTTGTAGTCAGAAGTCTAGAAGAGAGTGATTCTGGCATCTATTACTGTGCCACCTGGATTATGCACGGTGGTATAGACTTCCTTTATCCTGCACTTCAAATTTTTTTTTGCTTGTGGCTGCCAACAGCCCTGGTACAGAAGAAAAACCAGCATTGTCTCTCCTCACTTCCTGCTTCTTACACCACTGTACTCTGAACAATAAGAAAACCCTGAACTCAACACCTAACTTTCACCCTGTCATCCCTCCAAAAAGCTGCATTCACCTCATCTCCATAGGGTCTTCCTACTGACCAAGATGAGAAAATCAGACAGTAGTCAAATAATCTGACTCACAGCATAACTATTTCAGTACTTAAAGAGCTGGTGGAACCCCATTTAATCTGCATCCAAAGACAAAGAAAGTCACCTGGGGTTAACATGTTGATACATGAGACATTTTAGAGAACAATAAAATGTTGTTGTTGGTGTTATGTGACGTCGAGTCGCTTGCGACTCATAACGACCCTATGTACAACGGCCTTAAACTCTGCTCTGTCCTGTGCCAATCGCACCGTCTCTGACACTCCCATCCCAATTATCCCAGTCACTGAATCAATCCACCTCATAGAGGGCCTTCCTCTCCTGTGCTGTC